ACTCTTTCGTTAAGCAGCAACTGAATTTAGTTCTAGAGGCTCGTTATTAAACCACAGATAACGTTTAAATGATAAATGTAAAGAAAGCAAGAAAGCAAATCTATGTAAGTCAGTAGGAGCTTGGTTTTTGATGGAAAACAGGACATGGATGGGTCAGAGGGATGAATATTTAATCCACAGAGGTTAGAAAAAGTTTAAAGTTGAACCCAAGGCCTACTTGGGGCTGATGACTTGTAAAACCTTTCTGATCCGTCACCTACTCCTCCATCCCACTCCGACGGCCCGCAGCGTCGAGCCCACCCCGCGACGCCCCCGCGCTCCCGGGGCTCACCGGCAGGCGCTCTTCTCCCCCCTGGAGCTCGGTGCTGTCCGCAGCGCCACTCGCAGAGCGGACCCCAGGCCCTGTGCACAGCCCGCCCTGGGCGCCCGCGGGCAGCCGATGCCGAGTCCAGGGCCTGGGGTCGCGCCGGGTCAAGGTCCCACAGGCCAGGCCCACACGGCGCGCGGACGTGGCCTGGGCACCGGGCGCCGTCCCCGCCGTGACCTTGAGCACGGCCGGCCAGGACAGCGCTCTGACTGGGCCGAGGCGCTCACCCGCCCCGCCCCGGCCCCCGCTGCCCGGCGGGCCTGCTCAAGGGAGCGCTAGCGGGCCGTGGACCCGCGCCCTCCGCCCTGGCGGCCACTCCCCGGCCGGTCCCGGGAGGGGCAGCGCTGCTCACCGGAGCACAGGCTGCAGGCTGCAGGGAGCGGCCCGCCGCAGGACGCCGCCGGCCCAGGCCGCTCCACAGGCCTGCACGACTCGCGCCGCCATCTTGCTTTGGCGCCTGGGCTCCCGCCGCGCGGGCCGCCGCTGACGCCGCCGACGCCGACGCCGCCGCCCCACGGCCACCACCGCGACCCCTCCCCCGGCCGGGACCGCCGAGGCGGGGGTGGGGCGGAAGGCGGGGCCCGCCGAGTGGGGCGGGGCGGGGCGGGGCGGAGGGCGGGGCGGGGCGGGGCGGAGGGCGGGGCCCGCTGGGCTGGGGGCTGAGGGCGTGGCCGCCAGGGGCAGCTGACGGCGAAGCCGGAGAGGACATCACCCCCTGCGGAAGAAGCTGGGTGTCCTGACCCGCCTGCGCAGGAGAAATATGAGCAGACGTTACTGTACAGTACCGGCTCAGCGGTTTAGCGTGGCCTTCGGCCCAGGGCCTGATCCTGGGGTCCCGGGATCGAGTCCCACATCGGGCTCCCTGCATGGAGCCTGCTTCTCCCTCTGCCTGTGTCTCTGCCTCTCTCTGTCTCTCATGAATAAATAAATAAGATCTTAAACAACAACAACAACAACATTCTGGATTGTTTGTTGCTTGGGTGCTGAGTTTGATAAGTCCAGTTATGAAATGAGCAGAAGATATGAACAAAAATTTCTCTAAAGACATACACATGGCCAGCAAGCACATGAGAAAATGCTCCGCATTGCTTTTTATTAGGGAAATACAAATCGAAACCACAATGAGATACCACCTCACACCAGTGAGAATGACGAAAATAACAAGACGAAAATAACAAGACAGGACACAACAAATGTTGGAGAGGATGTGGAGAAGGGGAATCTTCTTGCACTGTTGGTGGGAATGTGACAGTTCACTGCAGCCACTCTGGAAAACTGTGTGGAGGTTCCTCAAAGAGTTAAAAATAGTTACCCTACACCCAGCAATTGCACTGCTGGGAATTTACCCCAAAGATACAGATGTAGTGAAACCCAGGACACCTGCACCCAATGTTCATAGCAGCAATGTCCACAATAGCCAAACTGTGGAAGGAGCCTCAATGTCCTTCGACAGATGAATAGAGAAAGAAGATATGCTATATGTATACAATGGAATTTTACTCAGACATCAGAAAGGATGAATACCCACCATTTGATTTGACGTGGATGGAACTGGAGGGTATTATGCTGAGTGAAGTAAGTCAATCAAAGAAGGACAAACATCATATGGTTTCACTTATATGGGGAATATAAGAAATAGTGAAAGGGATTATAATAGTGAAAGGGATTATATAGTGAAAGGAGGGGAACTGAGTGGGAAAAATCAGAGAGGGAGACAAACCATGAGAGACTCCTAACTCTGGGAAACAAAGGGTTGCAGAAGGGGAGGTGGATGGGAATAATGGGATAACTGTGTCACGGCACTAAGGAGGGCACTTGATGGGATAAGCACTGGTGTTATATGTTGGCAAATTGAATTTAAATTAAAAAGCATCATTCTGGATGTAAACATATTGAAGTTATCTCGTGGTCTGGGGACTACATTGTTCCCGTTCATCCCAACCCCGGTTGGTGCTGCTGCCCCCATCTGTTAGGGCAGGATATGAACCAACAACTGGCCGAGTGTGTCAGGTGTTGGCAGGAAGAGGCTCACAAGAGGCGACATGAGAGAGGGCACTGAGGGGACACGAGTTGACCCATGGAAGGGAGGGCATCTCAGGCCAAGAAGTAGGTCATGATGGCACGATTTAGGGAAAATGTATCCTGGGTAAGATAAAAGCCACAAATGTAACCTTGAAAGCTGCAACCAAGACAAGTTAGGCAGAAAAGGAGTCAGTGAGAGAAGGGGGAGAAACAAGGAATAGGCCCCAGCCTGAGGGGAGCATTTGGAGGGCAGTCCAAATCTGCAGAGGCCAAGAGGAAACTGCCCTCAGGACTGCGAAGCTGGGATGTCTCTGTGATCCAGGCAGGCCTCTGCCTAAGAGGGGTGGGGGCAGGAGCTGGGCTTCCTGGAGGCAAAGGCAGCATTGGAGTTTTCTGACTGGAGGACTATTTGAACATGTTAATAATGTCAGGGAGCCATCATGGAGGACATAAAGGGTCCTGTGGATGGAGGAGTGGCAAGGATTTGCTCCAGACCAGGGACATACATATCTCTTGGAGGCCATTGGAAAAAAGACCAAGGGACACAGGACAAGAGACCAGAGGCTGTGTGGCTGAGCGGGTTCCTGATCTCAACTGGCTTATGCTTAGTGAGCTGGTTAAGAAACCCGGATAGACAGGGCAGCCCCAATGGCCCAGGGGTTTGGCGTTGCCTTCAGCCCAGGGTATGATCCTGGAGACCCTGGATCCACCCCTCGTCAGGCTCCCTGCATGGAGCCTGCTTCTCCCCTCTGCCTGTGTGCCTCTCTCTGTCTGTCATAAATAAATAAAATCTTGAAAGAAAGAAAGAAGAAAAAAGAAAGAAAGAAAGAAAGAAAGAAAGAAAGAAAGAAAGAAAGAAAGAAAGAAGCTGTTAGACCCAAAAGGGAGGCCAAAATGAGCTTTCCCCAGAACAGAAAGGACGTCCCAATCCTCCACTGCAGGAAGCAAGCTTCTTCAAGCCCGTGATGTCGGTGTGCCCTTTGTGACTTTGAATGAAACACATTCTCCCAACTTCCCAGCTATTTTTTAAGAGACCAATGCTTTAAAATATATTTTCCTGAAAAAAATTTTTTTTTTCCTGAGATGTAAGCTTGGTAAATATTTCTTGATGTTGTTTTTGTGCTACTTAGAATTAGGCCACTTACTCTGCATTTTTCCCTCCACTATCCTCTTGCTCTGGAGGACCATTAACCCAATGCTTTTTACTGGTGGGGCAGGGGATGGGGAAGTACTCTTATCTCACAGGTGTACAGCTTAGGTTACTCAATGCCACTAAAGAAATACAGGGCATATTCCTGGAACATAATTTTTACACCAAGATTATTAGGAAAAATATCTTAAGATTTAAAAAAAAGAGTATATATAAGCATTTTAAATATGAGGTTTTTGAGATGGCTTGCACAGGTGTCCTGTTTTTTCCGGGATAACAGGTTCCATTTAACCCCACCTGTCGGAGACCTAGACACTTTTTTGCTTGTTGGAACATCATCTATCTAACCTCTTTTCCTCTTTCCTCACCCAGTTCAGTTTTGATCTTAGGACTAATCTTTGAACAGATCTGTCTATCCCTCTAATCTTTCCCCTTCCAGTCCCATTCTTTATACCGATGCTATTACTTTTATTGGAGTGTGAATCTAATTATATCATTCTCTTTAAAAATGTCAAAAACCCACAACCACTTACAGTATAATTTCCACCTATTTCTCTACCTGAGCTCCACTCATGTTCAAAATGTCCCAGCAGTCGTCATCAGCTTGCAGAACCCCTTGGTTATGCTCCTTTCTCTCATACTTTCAGGATTTTACACTACCTGGAATGCCCTTTCCACAACCCTCACCTATTAGCCTGGAGACTGTTCTTTTAAGATTCCATTCAAGCACTATCTAGCCTTTTCTGGGAAGTTATCCTAATTTCTTCCCCCAACCCACCAAGTGCCTCTCTGCTATGAAGAAACATGCACATACCTCCCCTGCTAGACTGTGAGCCTTGAGTGGGTGGGCAGTGCTTATGGTTACTGCTGAAACCCTGTGCTTGTACAATACACATATTAGTTACACCGAAATATGCTCCAAGTTTCTAGAAGCCAGGAAACTGAAATATATAACTCATTGTTTCTTCAGGTTAAAATCTAGGTTCATAGTTTATTAAAAAGCAGCAACAAAATTGAAACTCTCCAACTCAAAAAAAAAAAAACTCAAGTGCACAGTGTGAGAAACTCTAAAACTTCATCAACGTATCAGATTATATGCACTCAGTCCTATGAAACTACTCTAGAATACAGGATGAAAGAAAAGTGACAGAATTTTCAAGTTTTATTTTCTATGTGTCAACATTTTTAATGCAGACTGTAATCTGATAAAGTCTGACCCTAATCTGTTATTTCCATTTGTAACTGGCTAAATCATAGAAAACAATTTAAATTAATTTCAAATACATGCCACCAAAAATAAATATTCACCTAATGTGGTCTGATTGGTTTTATAATATCAAAAGGTTTTTTTCTTCCCCAAATAAAGATTCTAAGGTAATTTCAAGATTCCTTTGAATGAAAAAAAAATACACCTTCTAAAACAGTGAACTTACAAAACAATGCAGGGGAATGCTGGGCACACTTAGTGTAAGAGGAAACTTTATGTCCAGTGAAAAGGAAATTTAAACATGACTTTAAACTTTGGTGAAAAATTTTAATAAAGTCTTTACTTCATTTACTTTTAGCTATTCCATAAACACTGGAACAGAAATTGGACAGTTTGGAACTTAGAAAAATTTCTTTTTCCGTAAAGCAAACTTATAAATCTTTCCCTTTGGCTCCTTTTTCCAATCCTCCTTCACTGTGCTGAAGAACTATTGAGTTCTTTTAGATTTTTTGTTAGGCAGGTGGTTTCCAAGCTGACTGGGCTTTCCAGGTAGGTAGTTCCTGCACAGGGTTTTCTGGTCACAGGATCTATGACCTGTCCAACCTTGAAAATGATTTCGGCCAGTTCATGTTTCACATGCTTTGTTCGTGGAACAGGTAGAGCTTTGAGAAGCACAATATCCCCAACTGTGCACTGCTGAAGGGCATCATGAGCAAAGTAGGTTTTTCGCTTATTAAAATACTGTTGAGAGAAAGAGGAACAAATCAGTAGTTCCCATCTGTGATCTGACCATGCAGTATAGGCTATGAAAAAGTAATGCACAGAAAACAAACTGGGACTTGGAGAAAAAAAAAAAAATACAGTTAAGGAGGCTTTATTCATGGAGACACAGCGACATAGGCAGAGGGAGAAGCAGGCTCCCTGTAGGGAGCCCGATGTGGGACTTGATCCCAGGACCCCAGGATCACACCCTGAGCCAAAGGAAGGTGCTCAACCACTGAGCCACCCAGGTGCCCTGCTGTTGTTGTGTTTAATAAAATACCACTTTATTTCACTCTTTAACTCCCTTGGTGCCCCATACCCTTAACCCTCTGCTGTTGTGTTTTTCATCCTAGAAAACAAAGAGCATTTCTACCTACCTGTGCACCCAACCTGGAATGCAGAACCATCCCTGGCACTTTCCTCTTCCTCCCTTGCACATCTAACAAAACAAGGACCCTGTCCCTTCTTTCTAAAATCTGCTTTTCTCACTCCATTCCCATTGCTCCAAGGACTGTTCAGGTCCTTATATCCACTCCAGACTTTTTGTAATAGCCTTCTTACCCACTTCCTTACCTCCAGTCCTCATCCTTATGTCTCTGTCTTCCTTTACTCATAGGATGAAATCCCTGAATACCACATACAAGACCTCTGTCACCCAGCTCCCACTGTTCTTGCATTCAGTCAACAACAGTTAGTGCCAACTTAGGGTCAAGCTCTATGCTTGGCGTTGCCAAACCATGTGTTGTCCCTGTACAGTCTCATGCCCTTTAATGGCTGAAAGAACTTCCAAAAACCACTCATCATGGCTCCTCCAAACCCGGTCCTCTGAATAAGAGCCTTTTTGAGATTCAGCTTAAGGATGCTCTTCTTCAGCGATGTGGGAAGAAACAGGTGTCCTGCTCCCTGCTCTCAGTACTTTGCACAGGGAATGACTATAGCAGTTACCAGACTGAGTTGAAATTAACTTTATGTGTCACTAGAATTTGAGAATGAACCACGATCAGTTCAATTTGTTACACCCACAGATCAGCCCAGTGTCTGGCTTGCAGCGGATGGTCGGTCTATCTGTACTGATGGGGACCTTTCTCTGCTCAGAACATGGTGGTGTTTACTCTGCTCGGTAAATGGTGGTGTTTTATCAATGCCACCGGAAGAAGGGACGTCTCTCACCTTCAATAAATAGGGATCCAGGACAAGTCTGGTCACTCTCACTTTAGCTGTTTTTTGCATTGCTGTTCCAATGACCTTCCCCACGATCCATTTGGCGTGGACGGATGAACGAACGATTGACATTCTGTGGCTTTGGTCACCTGAAAAACAAATTTCAACGTTGAATATGCTGGTGGTTAGGACTCACCAGATGAATTTTGTTACTCGAACTGCTGACGTTCAGCAACGGTTTCTGTCAGCCTTCTGAAGTCAGCACTGTTTCCTCAGTCCAAGCTCTCATCTTGACACCGTTTACAAAGGTGTCACGGTCATCCAGGCCTCAGTTTCTCCAGGGTCTGTTCGCAGGTGAGCTCTGGGCGCTCCACAGCGCTCGTGCACGAGGGCCCTCGCTGCCCCGTCCTTCTCGCCTATCCCGAAGGCTCCAGCCCGGCTGCAGCCCAGAGGACTTGGCGGAGGGCTCTGGCGTCCAACTTCGCAGGACACCTTCCCAGGGGGCTGCCTTTCTGGGTACGTCCGACCGGGCCCGGGTCCGTTGGGGTGACCGATCCTCAAACCCCGCACTACCCGGGGGTCAGGCCACTCACCGCGCCTCCAGGCACTCCCCGGGAACCGCCTCTCTCCCCGAATTCACCCCTTGCAGCAGCTGCGCGACCGTCAGAGTACTACTTTCCCCGCGCGGGTCCTACGGCAGGCCTCAGAGCGTGATGACGTCACGTTCTTGCAAGTAGCTCCGCGTCAGACGTCTCCTCTCATTGGACCGTGTACCACGTCATCTATGGGCGGGGTAAGGGCAGGGCTCCGCCCACTTCCCCTTAAAGGAACCCCGGACCGTCTACAACCGGGAGTTTTGTACCTGACTTTTCTCCATGCGCGGGGCCGCTGGAGTATTCCGGTCTTTTATTTAACTATTCCATTCGGTTTCCTCTTCTTATGCTGGGCTCCCAGACTTGGACAAGGCCTTCCAAATCAGAGGAACCTCATTCATTCATCCAACGCCGCTAAATGCTTAGACTTACGCGTTCTACCCCACGTCCGCTTTCAAGAAAAACTTCAGTAGGATTTTGTGCCCAATTTGATTTTCGGTGTTATTTCTCCATATCTGCGAGACGGAGAGAAGTCCAGCATTGGCACATATTTGTGTGTGGCAATTATGAAGGAGTTAGATGGGCCGTTAGTCTTCTCAGACCGAGGAGGACAGGGAAGTTAGGAAGTTAAGAGAAACAGAACAGTAGGCTCCGGGCAGACAATCTGAGGGCCACAGTATGGGTGCGGTCCGTGGTTGACCCCCGAAACATCTTAGCAACTGCCGAGGGAAGACTGGGAAAATAAGAGTTCTCCATACATCAGTCTGTCCAACACCCATTTCTTTTTTTAGCCAACAGGTGTACAACTTTTCTCACTCCGCGCTGGGCAAAAAGAGGATTCACTGGACACTCCCGCTTCCAGACCTCCCACAGTCCAGTAAGGACGGATGGGTAAAGAAATAAGTGTACAACTGTAGGTAATGGAACCTTGAGAAAGGACTGCATACGTTTGCAGAGAGAGGACACTTGACCAATACATTGCCCTTGAACAGGGGCTACAGCTTGAGGGGAGATGGACATGGGATGTGGAGAGGGCATGTGAGGCAGAAAGGAGAGCAGCATGTGCAGGAGTGCTGGGGTTTGAGAGGCAGTATGGTGAGCAGGAGACTGATACTGCCCGGTTATAGGATCAGGAAGAGTGGAGGGATTCAAGTTGGTCAGGGATGGGCTCCACCTGGGAAGCATTTCTTAAGGGCCTCACTTTTACCTCTAAGTGATGAGACCCCTTTGAGAGAAATGAATAGTTTTGCTAGACTTCAATATCATTGTGGTAGGAGTATGGAACACAGATTGGAGAGATTGGAGGCTAGATGCTTTGTCAGGGATAGTGAAAACCTAAATTAGAGCAGTGGGAATGAAAGAAAGTGGGTTGGAGAAGTGATTGGGAAATTGGCCATGTGAGGCAAAGGGACAGAGAGGAGGTAACACTATGTGTAATATGGCATATAAATAACAGAAGCTTATTTTCTCACAGTTCTGGAGGCTAGAAGTCTGAGGTCAAGGTCCCTATCTGGTGAAGGCTCTTTTCCTGGCTTGCAAATGATCACTTTCTTGCTATGTCCTCACATGGCCTTTCTTCTGTGTATGTGTGCACAGGGAGAGAGAGAAAACAGACAGGAGGTGTTTTCTTTTTCTTTTACTCTAATCCATTGGATTAGGGCCCTACCTTTATGCCCTCATTTAATCTTAAATGTGTCCTTAAGGTCTTGTCTTCAAATACCATCACATTGTGGGTTAGGGCTTCAACATACATATGAATGGGGGGGGGGGCACAATTCAGTCCATAACAATAAAATCAAAGAAGCAAAGTAAATGCCTTGTAATCTTAGATTCGATTTGGGAATACAGTATGAGCACATGATTTATTTTTCTCCAAAAAAAGTTTTTCTAGCAGGATTCCTGGGTGGCTCAGCGGTTGAGTGTCTGTCTTTGGCTCAGGTAGTGATCCTGGATGAGTACCGCATCGGGCTCCCTGCAGGGAGCCTGCTTCTCCCTCTGCCTATGTCTCTGTGTCTCTCATGAATAAATAAATAAAATCTAAAACAAACAAACAAACAAACAAAAAAGTTTCTCTAGGAAGCCTAAAAACCCAGGATTAATCAGTTCCTAGCACCCAGAAAAAAATGTTATTTATATACCATTTTTCTCTGAAAGAAACAAAGGATCCTTGAAAAATGACTGAGCAGGAAATGTGTGAGTGAAACTTGGGACATCCTGTGTCAGAAATCAAGAGAGCTATTAAAGATGAATGGAGTCAGGTCAGAAGCCTACCCGAAGCAGTTCCCACTGAACTAAGATGAGAGGCTGAAGAGAATTATAACTGCAATGGATTGAAAAACATGGAATATATAAAAATCCATCTGTAGGTAATGGTACTTAAAAGTACTTAAAAGTACTTAAAAGTAAAAGGTACTTAAAAGTAAAGCCCTGGTTGCTTTGGGGAGTCCTAGGGCACCAAGTCAATAATTTGAAAAATAAAAGAAATCCATCTATCATAAAATATGATACAAAATGCATTTCAAAATGACCAAATAATTAATGCATAAGGAATGACAGAATTAAAAAAGATTTTTTTTGCAACCACTAATGAAATGATGAATAATATCACTAAAGGTTAACAAAATCATTAAAAGATTGATAGGCGACGTCATAATAAAAAGCAGAGTAATACTACCTGAGCCACCAATTAATCTTACTATCAGTAAAAGTGAGTCAACTAGACATTATACATCTTTTGATGTAAAAGAAGAAAGTATATAGCATGACTATAAAATGATATTGCATAAAAAGTGATCTGAATCTATTCAATTTTCTAGATCTAATCACCATTTTACAATGAATACAAGAGATAGAGGAACAAGTTAAATAACACCAGGAGCAAGTAACCTTTGAAATAAAAAACCTAGTAGATGGGTTTTTGGCAGATTAGATAGAGCTGAAGGGGGACTTAGTAAACTGCAAGGTAAACCATAAGAAATTATTCAGAGTGTAGCAGAGATGAAAGTGTGGCGAGCAGATTGAGAAGCTCTGAAAACCCAGAAGACTCCATCCCAAGATTGCTAGAACTCATACAACAATTCGGCAGCGTGGCAGGATACAAAATCAATGCCCAGAAACCAGTGGCATATCTATACACTAACAATGAAGAAAGAGAAAGACTGAAGAAAGATAAAATAAAATCAACCCCATTTACAATTGCACCCAAAAGCAGAAGATACCTAGTAATAAACCTAACCAAAGAGGTAAGGGATCTATATCCTAGAAACTACAGAACACTTCTGAAAGAAATTGAGGAAGACACAAAGAGATGGGAAAATATTCCATGCTCATGAATTGGCCTTAAGAAGCATGGTTCTATTTCTGCTCATTCAAACAACCTTCTTGACTCTTCCCAGTCCTAGAAAATGTGCTGAGATAGTGTGCATTAGTAACATAACATCAGGAAGCATAGACAATAGGATAGAGTAGAAATTATTTGTGAGACTTGGATTGGAGAAACTTTGTATGTTTAGAAGGTTCCCAGGATTACCCTCAGTTTCAGTAAATCACTAGAAGGATTTCTAGATTACTCACTCTTGTCAGGCAGGACATTCCAAGGATTTACAAGATTACCTCCCAGGAGCCAGGGCAAAGTGCCAAACCTTTCTTTGGGTATGATTTATCTTTTACTAAACAGCTTGGTATGTCAAATACCCTCCTATATAAGGGCTTTTCTAGCTTCCAAGAGTGTGTATAACCTCTACAGAATTCCAAAAATTATAAAATCATAAGCTGCCAGACCTTCTTAATGATTAGACTTAGAAGTCCAGAACAACAGTTCTTTTGCATTTCTGTTGGATAAAGTAAGTCAGAAGCTGATCCAGATTCAATGTGTGAATGGGGCTACACAAGAGCATAAATATCAGGAGATGTGGAGACTGCTTACCATGGTCCTTTCTTATTTTATAATTTTAATTCCAGTGGTTAAACATTAAAGAATTTCTTATGGTGAGGTAAGTGTGAGTTTTGTTTGTAGTCTTTTCCTTCATATCCTTTTCTATAATAAGGTTTGTACAAACAAAACAAAGCAACACCAAAAAACCAACCCCCCCAAAAAAAACTTTGGTTCAGACTACACTGTTGTTTGGATTCATTCTAATTATGCTTTGTCTCATTCTCACAGAATGAGGGTTTTTTTCTGTAGATCTGTTATGGTTTTCTTGTGATGAATCATCACATTCTAGAATTCTCCAAGTATGAATTATCCCTGGTGAATCTTTGCATTATCATACCATGAAGTGACTCTTCATGATGAGTTTTGAACTTTTTTGTTTTTTCTTTGGATTCAGGCCTAGTACCCTAGATTTTGAAAGACAAACAGTTCTTTGGGGGAAGAAATAAAACCAAAAATAAATTTTACAAGAAATATAGTTCCCCCCCCCTACCCTGACAAGGCCCGGTCATGACCCTGAAACCCAAGGAATGAATGTAGAAGAGGGAAGAACCAGTGAGCGGAGGACAAAAGTGATTGTAAATGATGTTGCCATTTGGTTGTACAAGGTGAACAGAGGATATTTAACCAGAGTACTGGATGAAGAAAAGGTTGACAAGGAAACTAAAAAGAAGTTATGGTCCTTGAGTACTAGAGGACAAGGTTTTGAAAGATCAGGTTCTGGAGTCTGGATCATCTCTGATTCTAAGGATACTATAATATATATATTATAATAATATGTAATATGTATATATATATAGTAATCTGAAGTCAGTGTAGGAAGGTTTTAGGGAGTTTCTGAACTCTACTCATATAAAATTGTATATGTAAAATATGGTGTGTATCTACAGGCCTTTGTGGGAAAGTAGTCAATGGCTTTTATCAGATTCTCGAAGAGGTCTGTGATCCTGTTCCTCCCAAATTAAGATATTACTGCCTTATACCCAGATAACTACAACAGACTTTGAATTCATGATACAGCTACTTTAGGCTTTTGATTTAAATCTATCCAAGACACTGCTACCCTGTTAACCTTCCCATTTTTGTAATAGTTCTGTAGCTTCCACTTTGTACCAGAAGCACTTTGTATCTCTGCTTTACATCTAACTAAAATTAATTTATATATATAAATATATATACATGT